TGACTTTTTAATAAAAACAGGCGAACCTTAGGTAAAAAAAAACTTGTACAAAAATGCAACACCTTTTTTCCTTTTTAAAGTTCACTGATAAACAATGGCTTAAAATTAAACCCATTTTATATTTTAGTGTTTTCTTAAAACATAAATTTCAACGAATGTTGATGCTAAGATGTTTTATCAGTTTTAAACGGAAAATCAATAAAATTTGGTGTGCTGCTTGCCCAGGCTCGCCTGTTTTTAATAAAAATTCATTCAGTATTAAAGATAGGCTGCCGATATTAGGTTTTACCATCGCCTTGGAGCCTGTTAAGTAGAGGGTGGAGGACATTTTTAACATTTCTACATCGATAACACTAAAAAGATAATTGTAACTTTTTTGTTTTTAAAAGGAATTTTTGCCCACTTCCAAATAACAACATGAGACAAAATAAAAAAAGGTATGTTTTAGATTCCATTTTTCACGGGCTTTTCAATGACCCTACACACGACATACCTTTGCATTTGAAAAAAATAAAGTTGGGTAGGGTTGCAACTAAGGGGTTGAAGAAAAAAAAATCATTTTTTTGGCAACAAATCCGTCCAATATAAAATTAATTTACGTGTTTCAGCGTTTTTTGTTTAAATTACTGGTTCAACAGATAATAATTTTATTCCGGACTTTTGCCCAACCCTGTATAACTTATACGGGGTGTCTCTAAAAGATTAGGATATTGCTTAACTGCAGATTTCTGGGACGAAAATAAGATGATGCCTGTTTCAAGGGGAAAAATAGCCGTTTTTAGTAATTTTAATGTTGTTAAAAATAATAAAAACAACGAATTTAAAAAAAATGTATGTTCTTGGTTACCATAGTGTAGCACATATTTTTATTTAGATTATTAATAATTTTAAAATTATAAAAATAGTTTTATCGAAAATGTTTTGCGGCCTGTATCTCCTACGAAACGGAATTTTAACCCTTAACTACTACAAGTTGTGTCCCACAGACCCAAGATATTTTCATCGAGTTTTCATTCACCTCCCACGCTTTAGGTCGTGACCCTCTTATATTTTCGTTTTGTATATTCTTTCTTATTTAGGTTTTATTTTTTTATAAACAATATGCGTTTTATTAACAAAATAATATGTGGGTTTGAGACCCATTTGTACCAGTTATACGTACAAAATATTTAGTTGTAGCAGTTAAGGGTTAAAAATCATCAAAGAACAAAATACTCTTATGCCCGATTTCACCAACCAGTTCCTAAAGTTAGGTAATACTTAAATCAGATTTAGGATTTCCTAAGTATAATTTGCATTTCACCATGCACTAAGTAATACCTAAAGGTAATAGGAAACGCCTAAAGTTAGGACAACTCACTGGGCTTGCCTAAAACATTTAGGAAATACTTAACCATACTTTTCATGTGATTTCATGTGACTTAAGTCTTGACTGTCTTTAGACTCTTTAGATGAAAATTTAAAATGGGAGGAGAGTTTTTAGAAACTGGACGAAACTGATTTTTTTTCGCCTTTTTCGATATATAAAAATACGGCATTACAAATATTAGAATAAATTGAAGATGATTTTTAATCTGATACACAGGAAGTTTTTGGAACTATTGACCGTACACATGCATGTAAAGTTCCATAGACCTGGAGAAAAAAATGTAGAAATATTTTACAAATCGGAAAGGTTATTTTTCTAATAATGTACAGACTACATCTTCAGCAGATTTAAAAATAACTAACATAATTTAAAGATGGCCCGGATCGTCAACATCTCTTCTTTTCTCTCAACATATTCAATTTCGATCTCCGCTTATTCGGTTTACACGTCAAAATTAGCCAATGCTACCAATAAAATTCAAAAAATTGTCGAAATCAAATTTTTACCTACGGTATTTCTTAGTAAGGGATTTCTAATGTTGGTGAAATTCGATTTAGGTAAGTACTCGATTTAAGTAATTCCTACCTTAGGAATTACCTAGTTAGGAAATGCCTTGGTGAAATCAGGCATTAGAATAGTCCAAGCAACAACCCCTTGAATATTTGCCGCACGTTTAAAAAACACCCTCCATACAAGAAACCTTAATTTTGCGCAATCAATCAAACGCGCTTCTATACCGAACAAGTTTTATTACATAAAAAAAAAACGTCATTACATAAAAGCTTTGATTTTATCGAAAACCACTAACACTATGGCCCCTCCCATACCCCGATAGATATTAGTCAGCGCCCCTTTGTAGAAACCGAGCGGTCCTTCCTTTCGCAAAATCTTCGCGATGCAATCGCGCGCGCCCGAATAGGCCCGATCCTTAATCTCGCGACCCGATTGCATCATCAATCGCCTGCCCACCGTATCGAATGGATACGATATCAGCCCCGAAACGATCGTCACCCCTTGGGCGATGATGAACAGGACCGGCATCGGGGCCGTCAAAGGATCGCACATGGTTTCCCTTGCGGTGTCGAACAACCCGAAATAGGCCGCCCTGTAGAAGAATATACCCCCGACGAGCACCGGAAACCCTCGGTACAATCCTCCCACGCCGTCTTTCTTCACCGTTTTCCTCAAGCAATCGGTCAATGAAGTGAACTGGCGGTGCTTCAGGTCCTTTCCGATATCGGCAGAGAGTCTGGTCCTGGCGAAATCCAGAGGATAGGTGATGCTGAGGGCGCTGCAACCGGCCATTCCGCCGCTGGCCAGGTTGCCGAGGAAGTACTTCCAAAAGTGCTTCTTGTCGAAGTCGGCGTAGAACAGCTTCTTGTAGAGGTTCTTGAAGGCGAAGTTCAACGATTGCGTGGGAAAGTACATGATGATGTTGGTGAAGTTGCCGCGCCAGTAGCTGAAGAAGCCCTGCTCTTTGGGTATGCGCACCAGGGCGTCGAAGATGCCCTTGTAGACCTTGCTGGGGTCGTGGATTTGCTGGCTGGTGGCTTGGAGCTGGAGCAGGATTTTGACTCGTTCTATCGGGGCGATGGTGGTTTTGCCGATGGCGGCCGATATGCCGCCGGCTATGAGATCTTTGATGAAATTGTGCCGGTTTTCAGATACTTGAAGGTCCTCTTCATTAAAAAAGGATACCTAGGATCGGCCATTTTTTTATTTTTTTTTTTTTCAGTAATACTTTAATACTTTTGAGATTTTCGGTAAATGTTGTGACTTTCGATTTGATTTGTTCTATTGACGTTGACAAGAAATTTTCAACGATGTTTGATAAAATATAAAATAAAAGTTTTGTCGGGTTCTTTTTTTCTTTTTTAAATAATTCTCTCACTCTGATGGAAAACGATTAAAATAATACATGTAGATTTTAGATAATTACATTCGTGTTCATTGACTATAAATAGAAATGAGTGCAAAGAATAATATTAACTATTCCTTGTATTTATAATGGAGTTACTACACCTTACAATGTCAACAATACCTAACACTTTAATTTATAGAAGTCGATATACAAGAGTAAGGTAAAAAGTTCTCTGCCTGACAATGAAAGACCGCAATTTTCAGTTGAAAAATTAGATTAAACTTAATTCTCTTAATAGTCTGACTTAATAGTCAAAATCTTTAGTTCAAGTTCTAAATCATTCTGGAGCGTTCTAAACGCTTTTTAGACAATTCTCAAAGATTTGGATTCTGGAGCGCTGTAAATAACTATGAATCGTTCTAAATGTTTCTTGACAGTTCTAAATCATTCTAAATTATTCTAAATTATTCTAAAGCATTCTAAAGCATTCTAAAGCATTCTAAAGCATTCTAAAGCTTTCTAAAGCATTCTAAAGCATTCTAAAGCATTCTAAAGCATTCTAAAGCATTCTAAAGCATTCTAAAGCATTCTAAAGCATTCTAAAGCATTCTAAAGCATTCTAAAGCATTCTAAAGCATTCTAAAGCATTCTAAAGCATTCTAAAGCATTCTAAAGCATTCTAAAGCATTCTAAAGCATTCTAAAGCATTCTAAAGCATTCTAAATGTTTCTAAACAGGTTCAAATAATTTTGGACCGTCCTAGATAATTGATCCTGGAGCGTTCTAAATGAATCTGGAGCATCCTTAATGATTCTAAACAGTTCTAAACTATCCTGGAGCGTACTAAACGGTTCTAAACATTTCTAAATGATTCAGAAGCGTTATAAATAGTTTTAGATAGCTCTAAATGATTCTAGCCAGTTCTAAATGATTCAGGATCGTTTTAAATGAATTTGCAGCGTTCGAAATGGTTCTGAAGGGTTTTAAATGGTTCTAGACAATTCTAAATGATTCTTGGGCGTTCTAACTGATTCTAGAGCGCTTTGAATGATTCTGAACAGTTCTAAATGATTCTGACGCATTCTAAATGATTCTAGACACTTTCAAATGATTCTGGAGCGTTCCAAATGGTTCTAGATAGTTCTAAATAGTTCTAAATGATAACAAAGCGATCCCAATGGTTCTAGATAGTTCTAAATGATTCTATCCCATTCTTCTAATGTTCTAATCAGTAATATAGTCAGATAGTAGTATGTGTATGTCTTATCTTTTTTCGTTTAATAAAATTTTCAAATAATCTTTTTAATATCTGGTTGTTTCTGATATTTTCATGGAGCATAAACGCTTATAATAAGTGGATATTTTGAAGGTTTTTAGTGCATATTTTCCCATTTCACTTATGTATTATAGATACTTTTGACCATTTATTATTATATACGCTAAATAAGTATACTATACTTTAATACTATTGCTTCATTTATGTAATTTACTAAACGAATTCATGACATGGAAAACAAAATAATCAACCACTGTTTTCTGTTTTCCTTCGCGGGGTGACGTGACAAAAATAATAAATCAAAATCCGTATAATGAAATTTTTTAATTAATTCACACAATGCAGAGCAATTAAACGGAGAAAGTATTAATTTAAAATTCGCAACATCAAGCAGTTTGCGAGATGATTTTTGCGCTGTTTTCAAACAAAGATAAGTATACACTTTAAACGAATTTAATTAGTAATGGAATATCGTATAGAAAACTAAAACTCACCTTTCCGGTTCTAATTTTACGAGCAAGACTAGTAGCGGATTCGAGCAAGAGAAGATCCTTGATGGGGGGCATGGTTTTCTGTTTTCCCCCGTAAACTAAACCGAATAACCAGTGGAAAATCATTTCCACTACACCGTGAACGATCCTAATCGCGGCCTTTTTGTACGATTTGAAACTGCTGTTTTTCCCCATTTTATTAGTGGCAATATTGCAACGAAATTTACCCAAAAAAGTTGTATTAGTATCACTCACTACGCGTTCGTTTCAAACGTGAGAAAATGCGATTATATGCGGAAAAATAACGCGACGCTACGTAAAAGTATTTTCAATTCATAATGAAACTAAAACTACTACAATTTTTGAGTTGAATGATAAATGTTCCCCTCCATCCTCCGCAATTGTCAAGATTGACAATTAGTGACACAACGCGAGAGTCTTTGAGGTTATGTTTACCTTCAGCTGTCAAGTGGAGAAGTGACTATTCGACCAACATTTTATCGTACGTTAAGTTTGTAAATCTAGAAGTGTTTGTGTTTAATTAAACGAGTTTTTATAAAATCTACTAGTTTTGATTGTAAGATTTATTGTTAATTTTCATAACATCTTACTTAATTGCCTAAAAATGGTCGCTTTATATCAAATTTGTTTGAAGTCTTAATACTTTTTTCGTAATTAGTAACGCTTTATGTAGTTTCTTTTTAAGCTACATGCAATAATACATGAATTATAAAGGAGTTAATATAATTTTACGTTATTGGATTACGTTGGTACAATCGATACCGTTCCGTTGGTGCAGTAGACACGCGTTCACTACGAGTTTTTCGAGTGCAATAATCGACGATTTTGTAACGCGAAAATAGCAATTTCTGCTCATTATTTTTAAGCGAATGACGTATATCTTCAAAAAAAGGTACCAAAAGAATGTAATACAATAAAAATAAACGTTAACCGGTCTTAAACAACGCGGTAAAACAACCAAATTGTTAGTGACAATTAACCAGCCAAATTACACGCTATTCTACTAATTGTGCCGTGTATGTTCCAGACGTGTTCCAGAGCCATGGAAAGGAGTCCAAACAAAAAGAAAAGTGCCTCGGGCTTGGGCCATTTATTGAACGAAAGAACGATCAAAACACCGACGTTCGTGTCCCCCATTTTACAGCAAGTTGGCAAATTGGCCGCTAGTGTCGCCACAGTCGGATCGGAATTATCAAGCAAAGGCTCAGCAACAGGTAAGATTTATTATTATTTTAATTCCGATGTGATTTAAATGGTCCATTGGTTGCATTACGTTCGATAGATTGATGCAAGTGATATACATTTTTGCCCAGTAGTTATGCAACACTTATAACGTACGTGTAAAACTGGTTGCCTATGCGTAGGTAAACAAAACAAAAAAGATTCATTTTTGTAATATTGTAAACGCCTTTTGATGTACTTACCCTATATCTAGTATCTATTTAGTAGTTATTAATGTGAAAATTAATTTACATTATTACGATTCCGAATTCTCCATGGGGATTAAATAATAAGTAAAACGTTTACGAGTTATTTACTCGATCGACTAAACGTCTCGAGACGTTTTATTAGAGATATTAGTTCAATATTTAATTAGGCCCCCGTTGTATCATTCTTGTTTGTTTTGAATTCTTCACCATTGAATTACGATCACGCAACGTATTTTAAACCAATAAAATAATTATATGAGGAACGTTGAAATTATTAGTTTGGAAAATTACATTTATTTACCTACGTATTGTATTGTTATAATTTGGGAGTATTTTTCGATTCAAATTGGGAATTGGTATTGAGGCTGAACGAATTTACATAACAATTTATACGGACAGCAAATTTGTAAAGCTCCAGAATCATTTAGAGTTGTCTAGAATTATTTAGAACCCTTCCGAATCATTTAGAACAGTCTAGAACCATTTAGAACTGTCTAGTATCATTTAAAACGCTCCATAATCATTAGAACTGTCTAGGATCATTTGGAACTGTCTACATTTATGTATAGGATTTTTTAGAACGCTTCAGAATCATTTAGAATGGTCTAGAATCATTAAGAACGCTCCAAAATCATTTATAACTGTCTAGAATCTATTAGAACGCTGCAGTATAATTTTAAAGTGTCTACAATCATTTAGACTGCTCTAGAATCATTTAGAACTGTCTAGAATTAACTAGAACTCTTCAGAATCATTTGTAAGTGTCTAGAATCATTTAGAACCATTGGGAACGCTTTATAATCATTTAGAACGCGTCATAGTCATTTAGAACGCTTCAAAATCATTTCTAACGCTCCAGAAAAATTTAAAAGGGTCTAGAATCATTAGAATCTTTCAGAATCATTTAGAATTGTCTAGAATTACTTAGAATGCTTCAGAATAATTTAGAACTGTCTAGAATAATTCAGAACGCTCCAGAATCAATCCAGAATCACGTAAAGTCTCATATTGGAGGGCTGTTTCAGTGAGGGGTGAAAATGATGAAGTTTATTTGTACAAAAATTAGTTGAGAAAATAAATGTATTCACTAAACATATGGTACAATACTTACGTAAAAACAAATTTAAAGGATTTTCTGTTATATGGATTGTATTGGAAGAGAAAATTACTTTTGTGGAAATGAAGCAGTCGAAAAGAAACCGATTGCCAACTATCCCATAAATTTAGCTTTCAAAACATGTATCTGTCGCTGCACAAAAACCCCATCTATTGGAAAACATCTCCAGACTCTCCATTATTGCCATCAGACAACCGGCATTTGTTAGTTTTTTTTTCTTGTTTCCCATTCCTAGGGAGAATCTACGAACCGATGCAATTTTCTTTTGACACTGTTCGCAAATTACCGCGACCTTAATGGAATTAATCGAACCAAATCGATCACCATCGTCTTACTATAGATGTACCAAGGTAGGGCGAAAAGTTCTCGGTCTGATATACACTGAGGGAGCTCCAATCAGAAAAAAATATTGTTTTCTCTTTGAGACATGTTCAATCAATTCTAGAACTGTCCAGAACGGTTTAAAAGGCTCCAGAAACATATTTAGAATTGTCTAGAATCATTTAGAACGCTACAAAATCATTTAGGACTGTTTAGAACCATTTATAATGCTCTAGAATCGTTTAGAACTACCTAAAACCATTCAGAATGCTCCAAAATTATTTAGAACTGTCTACAACCATTTAGAACGCTTCATACTCATTTAGAATTGTCTCAAACCGTTTGGGAACGGTTCAGAACCATTTAGATATACACTGAGAGAGCTCCAATCAGAAAAATTCTTGTTTCCTCTTTGGGACATTTTTAATTAATTCTAGAACTGTCCAGAACGGTTTAAAAGGCTCCTTAAATATTTAGAATTGTCTAGAATCATTTAACACGCTATTAGGACTGTTTAGAACCATTTAGAATGCTCTAGAATCGTTTAGAATTGTCTCAAACCGTTTGGAACGGTTCAGAACCATTTAGAAATGTGTAGAACTATTTAGAACACTACGGAATCGCTTAGAATGGTCTCAAACCGTTTAGAACGCTTCCGAACCATTTAGAACTGTGTTAAACCATTTAGAACGCTCCATCAGAATAATTTAGAACCGTCTATTAGGACCATTCAGTACGCTACTGAAACATTTTGAACTGTCTAGAACCGTTTAAAACATTCCGAAATCATTTAAATTAGGATATATTGTTTAGAATTATTTAGAACGCTACAGAATTGTTTAAAACTGCAGTCTAGAACCATGGGGAACATTTCGAATCATTTGGTACTGTCTGAACCCATTTAAAACGCTTCAGAATCATTTAGAATCATCTAAAACTAAAGGGTCTAAAAAGAATCATTTAGGATTGTTTAGAGTTTAGAACCATTTTAAACGATCCATCGTAATTTAGAACGCTCCAAAAGTATTTAAAAGTACCTAAAACAATTTAGAACGTCACAGAACCATCTGGGACTGTTTAGAACCATTTAAAATGTTCCAGAAGCAATTAGAACTGTCTAGAACCATTTAGACCTGTGTAGAACTATTTAGTATGTTCCAGAATCATTTAGAACTGTCTAAAATCATTTAGAACTGTCTAAGATTATTTAGAACGCTTCACAATCAATTAGAACTGTCTAAAACTATTAGAGCCATTTAGAACGCCATTTAAAACTGTCTAAAACCATTTAGAACTTATCAGAACCATTTGAAACGCTTCAGAAATTGTAAAATTTAGAAATGTTAGTTTAAACTAAATATTTAGTTTAAATATTTACGTTACGAAATATTTAGAACTGTCTAGAACCGTTCAGAACTTTCCAGAATCATTTAAAACTGTCTAGAATTAATTAGATTGCTCCGGAATCATTTAAAACTGCCTTAACTGAACTAAAGATTTCGACTTAATAAGAAGAATAGTGTTATTGTTCAACTGAAAATCGGGGACTTTTTTTGTCAGGCCGAGAACTTTTCACCTTACCCTTGTAGATGAGAATTATTACCAATAATTTCAGATTTCTCTGGAGAATATTAAAGCAAGAAAATGTCGAATCTAACAGAATATAAACAAAAATGTTGTTTCGATTCGAAAATATTATTTTCTATTATATTTGATAAGCCCAAATATCGGTTTGCTATATTGATTCATGTCCATTTTAATAAATAAGATACTCTCGAAAATCTCCGTTCGTCCATATATCAATCATCGTAAAATATTTATAATGGTGAAATTCCCGGATTGCATTTCAATATTTTATAACTTTCTGAATACGGATTGGATACTAAAAGAGAAACGAGCTATATCGAATGTCTTTCATCTTTCCCTCATTTCGGTTCTGCGATAAATCAAAATTTTTCCCGATGCCGCTCGGAAACTAATCAATCATTATACAAATACCCGAGTAAAAACAAATTTGGAATTTTCCAGACAATAACATCTATAATGTCTTTACACAGTGACAAACAAGTGTCCGGAAAATTTGGAATAAAACGCAAAATTCATAATCTTTTTAAATTTATCTTGAATCTACTTCAAAATATGCTCCTTGTTTGAAGCGACACTCATAGTCAGAAGCTTTGAAGCAATTTTTAAATGCCATTTTTTGGTACGATTTTAGCTCCTTTTGTGAATTTCCTTTGATGACATTTATGGAGTCAAAACGGGATTCCCGAAGTGGCAATTTTTTGGTAAACAAAAAAAATCGCACGGAGCTAAATCTAGTGAGTGAAGCGGCTGGTCGATGGTACTTCACACGAACCAGCATTTCTTGCATCGACCAGTTGATGATTTCGTTTTCATTGAGCGGCATGCCTGATTGATTGAGCAAAATCAAACGAGTGGTTTAACTGGAGAGGTTGAAGTAAAAGTGCTACTTCTCTAATACCAACATGATCATTTTCGAACTCAATTTCCTTCATTTTCTCGCCTTTATCATTGGTTGAAGAGGTCGAAGACCGTCCGGAACAAGGCAAATCTTTAGCGATTTTCCGACTATCTTTAAAAGTTTTGTACCATTCGTTAATATGGGTTTTTTAATAAAATAGAGTTACCTTGAGCATTTGAGCAAATCCAAAATATGGGACAAACTCTTTGTTCATTATTTTCACAATTCGCAAAGCACTAATGAGATGAACTGATTCAATCAGCTGCTACAAATGCAGGTACAAATGCAGGTAACTTAAATCAAAATTTCCGGTAAACTTATTCGTCAGACGGTATACAGGGTGTTATTTAATTGAATGCCGATACTTCAAGATGTGAATATTTGGATGATTTTAAGAAGAACAGTTTGTATCAAAGTATGGCCTAAACCTCTTAGTTTTCGTGCTACTGAGTGTTACAGTTTTAGAAAAAAATAAACTTTTTTAAATAAAATTTTCTTATTACTCCAGATATTTTTCACATATACAGGGTGGCACATTAGTATGGAAAAGCTCAATATATCTGTTATTGTAGAAGATATCAAAAAAACGTCATTACAAAAGTTGTAGATCTTTTTAAACTGCACATTTTAAAATTAGTTACATTCATACAGAGTGTCCAGTTTTTCCGTAGTAGATCAAACTTATACTTTTTTAAATGGAACATCCTGTTTGTTATTTAAAAATTGAATTAAGTTCGTTTTCAGCTTTCCAAAATATAATTTTGTATAACGTTATACTGAGTGGTTTAAAAGTTATGACCACTTTTCCACGAAAATCGTACTAAGTTTACCACTCTGTAGAAACTAAATGGATTGAATTGA